ATCAATGAATTGGTTTGAGAGTATGTGTGGATGTTGGTGTGAGTGCGTGCGACTAATGTGGGTCAGGTTGTGATATCTGTGCCCAGGAACTGTTGTTTTGTCTGATTGTGTGCAGGTGACTTGAGGTTAGCCTTGGTCAATGGTGAGGAACGGGACTATGTTTTAAGGAGGAACAGAGGTCTAGTGCGGTCAGGATACCATGTGAGAAGGTGACTAGAGTCAGGATTCTTGGAGATCAACTTCGGTCAACGGTGGGGATCGGGACTAGACTCAGGGAGGAGTTGAGGTCCAGACGGTCAAGGATACCGGGTGACGAAGTTGGATATGAGATAGCATACGGTGGATGGATATCGTGTGGAAAAGATCTTCGCAACGGGCTTCACGAGGTGTGCATGCAAGCGTCGGTGTTCGAGGAGGAAATTGGTTAAGAAATTGGAGGATGAGTATATGTGCTACAGTACTCGTGGTACTGTAGCGTGACGTGTATGCATATATGCATGCTGATACATGTATGTATGCATGCCGATGGTTGGCAGCAGCGGCGGCTCGGTTAGATGGCAGGCCGAGTCGGCTCAGGTGGCCAGGCGATCGCGACGACCGGGACGGAGGCAGTCCGATTGGATGTGGCTGTGGATTTGTTAGAGAAATTGTGAAGATTTGGAATATCAGGGATTGAGTTCTATTGTGAATAGGAGTTCTACACCTACTTTGAGTAGGGAGTTTTTTTTTTTTATAAATAGAGAGGGAGCGTGAGGCTTCCCGGTATCGCTTTTGAGAACAATTGAGTTGATAGTTTAGTTAGGGTTTCGAGTTTAGTCGAGATTTTTGTAAAGAGTGCTGTTGTTGCACTTTGTAAAAATAGAGAGAAGCAATAAAGTTGTCATCTACTTTGAGAGTTCTTCGATTTGTGTTTCTTTGGGTTCCGGCGGCGTGTGAGCTGTCCGACCGGCGGCGGCGACAGGACTACATCGAGATTTTCAATTTGAGGGTAACTTTTATTTCCGCTAAAAGTTTTTGGGTTTTTGGTTTTTCCTACCATTCACCCCCCTTTCACCCCCCTCTGGTAAGTTTGGTTTTTTGTGTTCGATCCTACAGTAGTCTAAGGGAAAAACAACTGACGCTGACATGCATTGACAAGCTTTACAGTTGAGAAAACGAAAGCGTGGAATTAATATAACAACGGAATCCTTTTCCATACGTACGTACATCTCAGCTAGCTAGATTCTTTTTCAAAGTACACAAAGATGCAGCAATACGTAGACGAATCGATCTATTCATATTATGTGCGTTGTTAATTATATGCTGATGACGCACATGATTGGTTTTACAGAAAATATACAACAAACAACTTGCAAATGGGGCAGCAGGTTAACGAAAGCAAAGAGCAAACACCAATTGTAGCTTGAGCAATAATTGTAAATTAGATCACAGCCAGTACTGCGAAAACGATGGCAAGCTCTCCATATGTCGATGTTCAGACACCGTGTGCTATGTACTAGTATATATATTGCTTACTAATATATATACTTGTTAGAGATAACCATATTAATATATTTTCCATGATAGAAGTTTTATTTTTATTAAAAAATATACTCCCTTCGTTCATAACTACTTAATTATTACTTTTGACCATAACATGGATCGATATATCTAGGTAATCATTTGCTTTCATATTATATCGCCATATATGATATGGAGTACCTTTCAAAGCTAACTAGCTAGATGCTTCTAGAACCATTGGAGATAATCGAGGAGAATTAATTTCACAATTTAATAGGTGTAAAATTGATCCCTTCAATCTCATGGGGGTAAGGATTAACCGAACAAGCCTAAATGTGTGGTTGAGAGAACATGAAAGATGAAATTAATGAGTAAGATGAGAAAAAAAAATACATTCGAAAACATGAAGTGAAAAATATTTGCCAATAAATAAAATGGATAAAAATTGACGAGTATATATTCGTGAACGAGAGAGTAATTCTTAGTGACATTTAATATCAGGCTTATATAAGAAACCAAAATATTTTTGACCAAGTAATAACTGCCAAATCTAGAGAGCAAGAGAAATTCAGTATATACATGTAGACGCGTTTGATGGCCAAAACTCATACTATATGAGACTGGCCTCTAATCTTGTTTATATGCATGGTAGCTATATAAGTGTGTGCATGGGGACATAATATATATAGGTGGGTAATATATATGAGTTGGCACTTGTATTTAGTGGTATATATTCGACTTGTACTTGTAAAAAAAATATAGTTTTTTTTAATGTATGGTGCATCGACTAGCCATAATATAACTAAGGCCAAGTTTAGTGCCAAAATTTTTTTCAAACTTTTAACTTTTCTATCACATCAAAACTTTTATACACACACAAATTTCCAACTTTTCCGTTACATTGTTTTAATTTTAATCAAATTTTTAATTTTAGCGTGAACTAAATACATCCTAAGCCCCTAAGCCGCTGTTGCACACTAATTAGGGCCCACACGCCAGTGGGCAAGCAGCGGGGAAGAGCCTGCAATGGACGATGTGACGTGAGAACGCAAGTATACGTACTCATATACGTACGGCTGCATATGCGACGAAGCTAGGTACTCCCTCCGTCGCACAATATAAGGGATTTTAAGTTTTAATTTATTTGCAATATTTGACCACTCGTCTTATTGAAATTTTTTTACAAATATAAAAAACGAAAAGTTGTACTTAAAGTGATGATGTAGATAATAAAGTAAGTAACAAATAAAATAAATAATAATTTTAAAAAATTTTGAATAAGACGAGTGGTCAAACGTTGCAAGTAAAAACTTAAAATCCCTTATATTATGGGACGGAGGGAGTAGTTCACCATAAGCATGCACATGTGGCGTCGTCGTCGTCGTACGTCGTGTCGATGCCGAATTGCCGATCGATAGATGGTCAACTTGCCGACACAGCCGATCTCGATCGAATTCCAACGACACGGCGCCGCGGCGGCATGGGAGGAAGCGGACAATCTAATCTACGCGCCGCCGTTCTCACCGGCCTCCGCGCGCGCGTGGCCGGGTACGGTGCCGGCGGCCGGGAAGACAGCCTGCAGCTAGCAAACCCAACCCCGGCCGACATGCCATCGACAGCGACGCCGGCCGCCTACGTAGGGAACAGTGGCAATGATCAGACGCCACCTGATTATTTGTTTGTGGGCGCGTGCGTAAGCGCCTACGTACGTATATATTCTCGCTTACGTACTATAGGGCCGGTATACTTTGCATTAATTTTTTTTTTTCAATTACACGGAGATGCACATACCATTACACACGTAACAGTATTACACTCGTACTCCACGAATACGTTTTCTAACACATTAAAATCCCTGATCTTATTAAAATCATGTTGAAAGTCTAAGTACATTACTACATGCATACTTCCTTCGCCCCATAATAGAAGGGATTTTGGTGGGACGTGACATATTCCAGATTCGTAATATTAGGATGAGTCACATCCTTCCAAAATCTCTTACATTTTAAAAAGGAGAGAGTATGCGTTTAATATTTGTGGGAACTATAATTTAAATTATAGCAATGGAATCATGCACCTACGACTCCACTTTGCAATATTAACTCTGGTGCTATACAAATTGGGTTTTAATATTTGATTAACTAGGTGAAACCCCGCGCATTGCTGCGGGAATTTAATATGAAGATATACATTAAAACATTATGTGAATTATGTTAGATGATAATTTAACATGTTTGTATTTAAAAAGCTCTTAAATTATAAAAACTATAAAGATATAGCATGTTTGCATAATGTTTAAATGTGATGATTGTTAGTGGATGATGACGTGACATCTTATTAATTAGTGGATGATGATGTGGCATCTTGTTAGTGGATGATGATGTGGCATCTTTGCATGTTAAACTTAAGGAGTTAGTGGGAGATAACTTTATAGTAAGATAGGATTAAGGTGGCGGCCGGGATCGCTAGCTAGCTTGGTGGTAGGAAGGTTTTCTTAGCCTGTTAGATTCTGCTTAAGCTACCGTGGAAGCTATGGGAACGGAGGCCGAATTGAGTTTGAGATGCAACTAATTATATATTGTAGATTTGTATACAGACGCTCTAATAGATTACTGTTTTAGTTGTTACATAACAAATTGTTATGGTATGTCCAATAGCATTTTTTTTTATACTACATTTGTCCCATCATAAAGGTTATAGTTTTCTTATCTGTTGGATACACGGATTTATATATACTACTTCAAATAACTCTTGATGATGATGGTTACTAGTGAGTATATAGGATCATAAGATTCCGTACATTAATTGAAGTTAGTGTACTAACATACCTATTCAAAATAGATGGTATACTTTTTTTTTTAAGATGCATGAAGAATCTTGTTTGAATATAATCAACTAGAGATAAATATTTTTTTCAAATTGTTTTTTGTCTATTTGGATAATCCTTTGCAACGCATGAGTAATTTGACTAGTTTGACTAGTTATCATGTATGAAAACTGGATATGTATCTTCCATTAGAACTTCTATTTTTAAACAATTTTAGGCATGTGACATCAATTGTTTTCATGTGGTCAACAATGGTTATAGAAACTTCTAATAATAAAGATTTTATATATCCCTCCCCTAAAAAAGATGTTAAATTTTCTGTACACATGGAGAGACAATTAAAATTAGACTATAAAAAGTGTGTAGTCACATTACAGTTAGATTTCTAAAATTTTGTGTACAAGATGAACTCATTTATTCTCTTTTTAAAAAATGACAGGCAGTTATCTTGCTTGTTTGAGAAAAAAAAGATGAATGAACGGATTTAACAGGGATGTTTGTGTGGTCGATCGATATAGTACACAACAACAATACATGCTTTTATTTTTTTAAAAAAAATTCATAACTATTTGGATTTCACGCTGGGAATGAGGGCGTACATGATCCATCTACTAAACTAATTTTCATCATATCTGTGTGAATTGTACTACAGCAATTATGTACCAACAAAATATAAAAGGAACACCGAAATTTCACTTAGTTTTCAATTTTGTGTGTACATATACAAGTATATATATACCCATGACAATACATAACTTGTGGAAAAGAATAAAATATACAAAAAATACGAGTCCTCAGGCCACCTACTAAAACCGAAGACAATTAACTAGGTGCTGATTAGTTCGCTCAACACCACCTAATACTGTTCTATGAAGGCCATGTAATTACAGGAAACACCGAGCTATTTTTCACCAAAATTAAGCTCAGGTGTTTTTCTGCAATAACTATGGCACTATATACTAGGTATAATTAAGTGTATAAGTATAACCGTACATACACTGACCAACTCATGCGAACTGCCAAAAAAAATGTTCAGAGTTCAGACTCCGGAAGAACTTTGTGCTTTCACACGACACAATGACTTTTACCTCCGTCTCAAAATATAGCAACTTTTGGCTTATAAATCTAGACACATACTTGTCTAGATTCATAGCTAAAAATGATTATATTTTAAGACGGAGGGAGTAGCTAGTTACCGTGGTTCATACGTACGTAGACATGGCCGTACGTCGTCGTTGTCACGGCGTTGCTCCGGTCAGCTACGTGCTCACGGTGATGAGCAAGCTCGAGTCCTCGTCGCCGTGGGGCGCCGCGACCTTGACGTGCGCGACCGCGTCATTCCCACCGGCTTCGTTGACGCCGTGGTCGCCGCCACTGGCCGCGGCGCCGGCGAGCACCTGCGCGAGCTTGGCTTGTACGTCCCAGTCCGTGCGCTGGATCACGACGAGCATCACCGCGACGCACGCCGCCTGCGCGGCGAGGAGGCCGAGCCAGAGCCCCCTGAAGTCCATGCCCGCCCAGAACGCGAGCCCGACGGCGACCGGCGTGCCGACGCCGTAGAACGCGCCGAGGTTGATGTGGGCGCCGTCTCTCGGCCGCGCGCTGCCCCGGAGCACGCCGCAGCCGGTGGTCTGCGGGCAGTTGCCGAGCTCGCAGAGGCCGAGGATCGGCAGCACCGATGCCGTGAGCGCGAGGATGTCGGCGTCCGGCGTGAACATGCGCGCCCACGCGCCGCGCACGGACACGGCGAACGCGAGGGAGGCGAGGCCCTGGACGGCGCTCAGCGCGAGCCCCGCCCTCGCCGCGGCGCGCGCGGCGGACGGCCGGTTCGCGCCGAGCTCGTTGCTGACCCTCGTGGACACGCCGAAGCTGAGCGACGACGGGAAGATGTAGAGCAGCGACGTGGTCTGGATGAGGATCCCCATGGACGCCACGGTGGCCCTGGGGTTGGCGAGGAGGCCGCAGAGCAGGATCATGATCTCGTACCACCACCATTCGAGGCAGACGCTGGCGCAGCTCTCGGCGGCCAGCCTGACCAGCCGCACCCACCCGTCGACGTCCTTGAACATCTTGCGCGGCAGCGAGAATCCCCCGGTGTCGCGGTGCACGCCGGAGACGTAGACGAAGGCGAGGAGGAAGATGACCAGGTTGAGGTTGGCCCAGGCGGAGGCGAGCGCGACGCCCTCGATGCCGAGGCCGAGGACGGAGACGAGGAGGTGGTTGATGGGGAGGTGGGCGGCGACGGCGAGCGCGGCGCACGCCGTGAGCGGCAGGTTGATCGACTGGACGCGGAGGTAGATCCGGAGCGGGTGGAGGAGCGAGAGGAAGAGGAGGTCGGGGAGGCAGAAGAGAATGTAGCGCTGCGCGGCGGCGGCGATGGCGGCGTCCTGGCCGCACAGCAGGAGGAGCGGCTCCATCCACGCCCAGAGGAAGGCGACGGGCACGGACACGGCGAGGAGGAGGAGCACCATCCGCTGCATGGTGGCGCCGACGAGGGGGAGGTTCCCGGCGCCCACGGCCTGGCCGCACACCGGCTCCATGCCCATGGCGAGGCCGGACAGCACGGAGTACCCCGTGATGTTGGCGAATCCGATGGCGAGCGACCCGCCGGCGAGCGCGAGCTCGCCGAGCCGGCCGAGGAACAGCATCGAGATCATCGGCCGGATGTACAGTATCAGCCCCGTCATGATCATCGGCAATGACAGCCGCAGGATCGACGCCGCCTCGCCGCCCTTGCTCACCGCCGCCGCCGACGTCTTCGGCCTGTCCTCCAACACCGGCGCCGCCGACGTCTTCGGCACCACAACGACAACGACGTCGCCGCCGCCATTGCAACCGCACGGGGGGAGGAGTTGCCGGTCAACGAGAGCCTCGCACATGGCAGCGATGGCGGCAGTATCCAAGCTCTTACACACGTCTTGTCCTGTGTTGCACGTGTGCAACAAAACAGCTAGCTAAAAACGGCGGGAGAAGATGAGGAATTCAAAACTCTAGCAAAGGTAACAAGCTACCACGAGCTTTATAGCAAGATAGCTAAGGCCGAAATGGATAGGGTCATTCGATGCAACAGAGAGAGGGATATCAAGAACAGGACATGGATTAGTTTATAGTGATGTTTTAGAACGGATCAGCTCGACGTCGTCGTCTAGCAGCTTGCAGCTAGCTGTGTGCCGGCGGCGAGCGGCGGCGGCGGCGACGTCGACTTCGTCGTCTCGGGCGGCGGAGCTTGGTTTGGATGATCGATCGCCGGCTCGAGGTGTCTGGATGGAAGGAGACAAATAAATCGAGGAGACGAGTGATGAGAAAGTTGAGAGCTTGAAGCTGGACGAGGAGAAAATGAGCAGCGAGGGATCTATTTATATAGTAGGCGCGCGAGAGGTGATGGGTTATTTCTGCAAAAGCACTTCACTGATTAAATAGACTAATTGCCACCACACAATTTTATAGGTATGTTTTCAAAATAAATTTGTTACTTTTAGCGTTTCTTTAGGTTGTCTCAATCTAGTTAAAATTGTTAAATTCGCTGTCGGAGTTATGAAGACAAGGAATGTTATTGGATGCAATTTGGCAAATGAAATTTGTACAAAATGGGCTAATGAAATCAAGTCAATGCTTAATTTTCTGCAATATTATTCTCCTTCCCTCCTTATATTACATGGAAATGTTGGAGCTGCCCGGCCTGATGAAAAAAAAATAAGGGGAAAAGTCCGACTTGATCATTATCATGAAAAAGAAAAAACTGTTTGACTTTTGCTCATAGACGTACTATTTGTGTTCTTAATTTGCGACAGAATAGTAATAAAGTGCAGCATAGTAAAATCCTGAATTTGTGGGTCATGACGGGGTACTAAAAGTAAATTGAACTTCATTGCTTTCCGGCCGGCCCCTACTATTCATCAAAGATCCGGCATTGCAATGCCATTTTTTTTGGCAGAACAGGAAAGAATATTACAAATTTACAATAGTCCTCTTGTTATAAAAAATAATGAAAAAGTTAGATACTAAGATAGAACAAAGAAACTGTAAATATTGAAATTCCGCGAGTAAGCAGACGAGCAGTCACAATGCCGAGCAACTCTAACACATGTAACAAAACATGAATGAGCATCGGCCACCATCTTCATTCTTTTGTAAGATTCTAAACCACCGTCACCAAAAAAAACTTTATGAACCCTAAATCCGGCACCATTGACTGAATCATCAACCTGACAGACAAGGCCCCGCACATTGTTGCAGGAGTTTTGTATGATAATAATATAAATAACATGTAATTAATAGCTAGACGATATAACTTTATATGCTCTATATAATTTTTATCTTTTGGTCGACCATGGAAAAGAATATAAATAATTAAGATATTGCAGTTTATAACAATTTAAATCATATATAGGTTAATCATTTAAAAGTAAAACTAAGATGATGTGTCCTCAATGACAGAAGAAAAAGAAGATAATATAGATTAATCATTAAAAGATAAAACTAAGGTAATATGACTTTATGGGATACGGAAAGGAGGGAGATAATTTGGACTATAGATCATCCAAAGTTTAGAAATAATTAAGCTGATGTTGCTTAATGAGAGAAAAGAAATATATTAATGGGGATAAACTTTAAAAATATATAGGATATAGATACATGTCGTACAAGTTTAATACATTTCCTTCCATTCTTAAGTGATTTAAATATGCCTTTACTTGGATAGTCAACTAATTTGCTAACAATTTACTACTAGTGCACTAGCTATAGCTTCCTAGTATTCGAGCTGCCAGAAGTACACAATCTGTCTAGTAGCTAGCTAGCCACTATCGTGTGCTGATATTGTTCAGAAAACTTAGATTGCAAACCAATTTTCAGATACAATGATGTACAACTTACTCGACCGAAACTTTATCCTCAAATCAACCAAAATGTCAACTATTTGTTTATAACCAGAAGTAAAAGAGAGGGTCAGCTGAATTCATTTTGTAACAGTGCATGCGTACCCGAGGTACGTGCCTGACATATCTACATTCATTTTGTAATGTCAACCATAGTCCATATACATGATCTCCAAATTTCAGTTTCAAAATATGAATGGAGCTAACTGATCATTACAAACAAAACAGTGCCTGTCATATCTAGAAGGCTGCAAAAGAGTTTACAAATTACAGATAACTACTGGACCTAGCAGTTCAGCATGACAGAAACTAAACACAAACTGTTTAAGAATGTTGTTTGGTTCGTGGTCAAACTTTAATTTGCCACAAACCCATAACTAGCTAGGTTTCACTTTTATATGCAAGTGTTTAGTTCGAGCTATAGCTATGGTACCGTGGCTAAGCTAAACTTATGGTATGAAAGTTTGGCAAAGTGTATTAAACATCTAAACAGGTCCTGAATCCAACATAACGTCAAGAACACCCTACCATAAAGCAACGGTTTCTTTTTTTTCCCGATTACACGGCAATCATACATGCACACACCACACTACACATGCAACACCATATTCACACCCCACATATGTTTCCCCTAACACACTTTAAGAGACGAAAACCAGTGGCATATCCATGATCTTACTAAAATTCTCCTGAAATTCCACCTGCATATATGTAATATTCGTAGGCACTGGGATTTAAACTCTGGTGGATGAAATCATGCAACTACGACTTCACCACCACATCACCAGTGCTTCCTCAACAGTTCCCTTTTTTGAGTAAGTAGTAGAGATATTTCCCTTGTTTTGGAGAATTTATATAATTTCTCTCTACCGGAGGATGGAATTAAATTGTTGTTGTTTGGAAGTAGTTACGTAGGGGTCATTTCATATTATTATTATTATTATTATTATTATTATTATTATTATTATTATTATTATTATTATTATTATTATTATTATTATTATTATTATTAGAGTAATTTTTACTTTGGGCCACTCTTATTGACCAATTCTTTTTATTATGGACTAGGATCATGCCTATATTTTTCACTTTACAACATATAGCTACCTATCTTTACACTTTGGATCGGGGTTTACACCATATAGCATAAGAACCAACAAATGTACATTATTATGTTATAATACATCCTACAAAATAAATGGGATTTCATTACAAATGAACATTCAAAGATAAATAGATTTTGTTACTACATATGAACATTTCAAAGATCAAATTTCACTACTTGGAGAAATAGATATCAAGGCATAAGTTATGAACCCCGGTCAAAGTGCAAACATATGTGGTGTTATGTAAAAAGATGAACTACCTCCAGTCCATTGTGAAACTTTGGCCTATAAGAGTGGCTCAAAGTAAAATTTACTTTGATAATATTATCAGTATTATAGCCTATTGTATGGTTGTACTAATGATTAGTTTGGAAACATACGTGTCTCTTCCATGTTGATCCGATGGTCTCTATATTGTTACACAAATATATTTATCCCCCTAACACAGAATTCCCGGATTTTGATACAAATGGAGTTCTGTGATATATCCATCCAATCATGAGAATTTCAATTATATATAAAAAAATGTACGTGCGTTGCAACGAGAATTAAGTAAAGAGAACCTCACCGTACACTTTAAATCCTAAAAAAATATAAAATAAAATTAGTCCCTTATAATTTTTTATTTCATATTTTTCATCACTTTACACCTTGTTTTAAAATATTTTTTTTCTAGTTTGATGTCTTGGTGTTGGGGAAGAGAAAAAAGTCCACCTATCTTATTGTTTGAGGGACCCTTATGGCATTGGTGGCCACCATAATATGGAAATTAGGAGATATTGACCTCCCAAAATATGGGAATGCACTTACCCATTGAAAATTTTAACTTTTAAAATTTATCGACATTTATGTCAAGTCTATTATTTAAACCATGATGGTCCGCAGCACTACCAGTTAAACTCTACTCCCTCCTTTCCAAATTGAGCATCATACTTATAAATGGTGCCGAGACCTAGGTAAGAAAGTATTATTCCTTCTAAAATTAAACCTCATCGACTAAGATGTTATATATACTAGTTGGCACCCCGTGCCTTGCCGCGGGATTTGCTAGTTTTACATCAAATACAATCAATGTTTCAAATAATGTGGCTTCATATATAGCATCGATCTGCTATTACAATACAATTCATGTTTGTTTTAAAATGTTATTGTGTATTGTTATAATATACAAAAGTTATTTTCATGCACAATCTGGATATCGTCATAATTAGAGTAGTTTGCACCTCTTTGCTTTTATCTCGAGCTTGTTTCGAAAACAGGTTTGGGTTAATGATGCCTGATTACTATATGTTATCCAATTGTTTATAACAAAACAAAACTAACATGTTATACAACAATTTGAGTTGTATTAAATAAAGAAGATAAGTTTGCATTATCTTGGAGAGGACTTGGGAGGAGAAAACATATTATTATGTAAAGAATGGATAACAATGTCACACGTGATTATAATCTAAAGGGAGGTGACTGGATGAGTAATCAATTATTAAATTAGATGGATGAGTAGCTTCTTGATCCAACGGCTGATAAGTATGTACTAATGCGATACGATGGCTTAGAATTATTGATGATGTGACTTCTTGCATGCCCTACTTTATAGAAGTAAACTAAATGGGTACAACTATATAGGAAGATAGGATCAGGCATGCAAACGTGCAATTGCATGCATGCCAGGCATACGAGGATGACATTTACTCCTGCATGCATAGACAAATAGACATGTAGAATAATGCCATTTATTTATGCACGAAAATACGAATAGACAGAGATTAAAAGATGATCAATTTGAGAAGACAAAAAAAAATCTTAAGAGATGATTAAATTGAGATGAAGGAAGTATTAGGTGCACTTAGCCACACCGGTCTACCGTAGAATTGAGGCACATCACAGGAGGCCCATAGACCCCAAAAAACCGCGTGGACTCCGTAGAGGATGAAGATCCATCATTTGCTTTGACCTGGCAGCTGAGGCAAATATTCTAACTATTTGACTATTGTCCGGTGAGAAACGGTAAGTGGAGGGTGCCCCTGATCAATCTTCCTCTGTCCATTTTTTTGCTTTTGCGTTAAATTGTTGATGATCCAACCACTTACGATATATATTTGCTAGCTTCAAAGGCAGTGCTTGTCGAACTTAATTGTCAATTACGTACGTTGCCAATCAATTTGTTTGTACCTTTCAAGAATAAAAAAATTGTTGACTGACCTTGCCGGCCGCTTGAGGATATATAAGTCGTCCAATCACCATGGGACGTGTAGATAAAATACTTTTTCGAAAGTCAAACAGCTAAAAACCCAACATACTAATCATAGAACTCGTCCTAGTTTTTGAAAGGTCAAACTGTACTATTTTTCCAAATAAAAAAACTGCCTAAATTTGTAATTTTGATAAGTAAAAAGATTATTTTGGACCTTCAAAAGATGCTAGTCTGGAGAACACCTTATGTTTTAGGCCTTGTTCGGTTTAGAGGGGGTTGAAGGGGATTGGAGGGGTTTGAGGGGGAATAATTCCACACCACAATAGGTGTGGAATAAATCTCCTCCAATCCCTCCCTCTTGGGGATTAACCAAACATAGCCTTAGCGTAAATTTTAATACCTTTCACTACCTACGTGGTATTATTGTATCACAAGGTAATATATATATAAAATTAACAAGAAAATTATGGTACCTCCTTAAAAAATCGGTAAGTATACACTTAAAAATGTATATTTTTAGTGAAATATTCTTAAAACATATACTACATAATACATGAATGATAAAAATTTAGTGCTTATATAATTGTTGACTTTGAAAGGTCAACATAAGATCAACCTTTTTTTTTATTTGAGACGACTATAAATTTAACGAATTAACTATATATTTAGTCCTATCAGCTGGCTTGCTATGCTAACTTGTGGGAGATTCCTCTGACGTCCGAAATCCATTAATTGTAGCCTCATGTTTTTCTCTTTTCATTCATGTCGTCGCAACGTGGTAAGCCGCAGGCAACTCAGCACCCGGTTTTGCATTTAGTTTTATAACGATATTAAGCATGATGATCTTGATCAGGTAAGATCTGATTATAAACCGTAATGTACTTCTCCACTAAAATTAATCTTGCAATTAAGCTGCCCGCCCACAAAACCCTATAGGCTTCTCCTTGCGTGCAGCTACATTCATTCGAGCAGAAAAAGACCAGCTGCAGTTAATATTCTTGAGGTTTGGTATCAGTAGGAGAGGTTAGGCATCAGATTAATTTTCAGCATGCCACATGTAGAAATAATTAGTGTTTCTGAATTGGATAACATGTTGACACTAGCTGTATAGTTTTAGTTTACTAATTTGAGCAATATTTTTGGTGGAGTTTGAGGAGTTGAGATACATGATGCATGTGTCTAGAAACATTGGACGAAATTAATCAAAGACATCTCTTTCACTTCAAGTATAATAACTTTGGCAACTCTCCCATGCAGTTTTCAAATATCAGCCTGAATTTCTTGACGAACCAATTTTTGAGTTGTCACCAAGCAGTAGTAGACACTGTAACTCTATTCATACTGTACAGGTTTGACCTGTCCGTGTGTTTGTATTTGATGCCATGCCGAGATTAATCAACGTATATTTAATGTGCTTGTCTCTATGTAATCATGTAATTATTACGCATTGCAAAGAGTCGCAGAATACCTAAACGCACCTGTCATTGACCTGTTTGGTGAGGTGAGATTTGTCACTTTGTACGTGTAGTTGTGTGACACTTCCGGTCTATTTGGCACAGCTCTAACTTTAGCTCCACCCCTTCTGAAGTTAGAGCTCAGCCAAACAGTTTCAACTCCACCAAATGGGAGTGTAGCTGGGTGGAGCTCTCTCACCAAATAAACTAGAGTTGTGGAGCTGGGTTTAGGCAGGTCCACAACTCCACTCCAGACTTAACTATTAGAGCTAAATTTAGGAGTTAGAGCTGTACCAAACGTGCTCTAAAATAATCTACCATCTCTGCTTGACCATACTACTTCATTTGGTCACCAGTCTTCTTGCCAGAGTTCCGAGCTTTCACCGGCAAGCGAATCAACAGCAACGGCTCGAACCATGAGTAGTTTGAGCTTTTGCATGGATCCGATGACCATTCTGAACTTGTCATGGAAGCCGCCACCCACCAAGCTGCCGTTTCAGACCAAGTTGTAGCATACACACTTGTAACTCTTTGACATGCTCATGGATCCGGTCATGGCAAGCAGTGGATTTTTTTTTCACTTTTGGTCTCTTGCAAAAACTTAGTTTACAAATAGTTCCTCGAAAAAAACTTATAGCAGGAATAGATCCTTTTCACGATGCCAACGACATTGCCGTCGAGAACCTAAAAAAATCAAAAAAAAACTTATTTGTAATAAAAATTATTTACAAATAAGTCCTTAGCATCAAGGTTATTAGTGCTAAGGACTTATTTTATAAATATTTTTATTACAAATAAGTTCTTTTCAATTTTTTTACAAATAGGTCATCGGTGCCATTCGCCATCATACAAGTGACTTGGCTTCTTTGGGAAAGCTAGGGGGCATCGGCACCGTCATGTTGAACCATGGTACCAATGACATTGGTGCCACCAAAGGCGGAATAAGTTTTTTTAAGATATATTTGTAAAATAAGTTTTAAAAAAGGTCCAAAATGTAAAAAAGCCATATGGCAAGCAGTTGTTAGCCATGCAGGACATCACAATCTTCTCGATGGCATATTTAGTCGCGTTCATCAGGTATGAACAAAATCTAGATATCACAACTCAACTTCACTTTGTCAAGAGTTAGAAAGTGAAGGATGGAGATGGGGAATCACTTGCCTCCCAGGATCAAACTGGAGTTTCTTTACCAAGTCAACAAGAATACTAGTCCAAACACCAGTCAGCTCGCAGGTGACAATAAAAAGTTTTTTTTTTGAACGACAAACAATAAAAAGTTCAGGTTGGTGTCGAGCAGTGGAGAGAGAAATCAAGCATAGCACATCACTGCAGACTTTTTCTTTACAGCGTTACAGTAAAACAACACAAACAACCTTCTGGACTACTGTGATGTCTAAACGCAGAAGAAAAATGGACAATGGAGAACGATGGCCGGCCGTGTAGCACATGTTAGCCTCCTTTTACCTGCATCCACAGTTCCACACGGTTAGTGTCGACCTAAAAATCCACTGCTTGAACTTGTGTAGTTCTCTTGCGCGTTTTTGGAAAAGATATGCAGATCCAATTCACATTTTTTTATGTAAACTGTCAAGTGTCCAAGCAAAGGAACTGAGCCCGAGGTAGCTCCACGGGCCACCTAAAAAATCACTGCAAATCAGAACGGAATTTAAATAACCTTATGTTAAGCCTTACACATGAAAAAGCATAGGACTATTTGTATGTAGCGCTCAATCGCTCTTTCAAATAGTCGCCACTCTTTATAGGTGAGAACCTGAAAATGAATCAAATTTCAAGCAGTATGAGAAGCAAGCATAATAAAAGGAACTAGACTTGTGCTAAAGCCTAAAGGAGGAAGAGAACCTCGGTGGGCATGACTCGCTGCAACAGCTTTCCAAACACTGAACCACTAAATCAGGGTTTGGGTCAAGAAAAAAAGCCGCCTGACAAATTGAAGAACATGTGTAAGAGAGTGCACCAAAAAGGTCCTAACATTAAGCACGCAATTTAAGTCGCTGAAACGTTACGTCTATATTATCAGTGATAGTTTGCACATGAATAGGTCCACCTGACTATACAACATGTATTCAGCAGGTGACAAAACCCCTTGATTCCCCAGGAAAAAAAAAAGAACTCTCAATTATGAAATTCTGAATTCAGCAGTCATAATACTCACAGAATATCGCTCTTTACCAACTGCAACAACACGGTGCACTGTAGACCTACAAGTCAGCAAAAGAGGGAGAACATTCAAAATTCATATACAAGGTTTTTCTTTCTTAGAGATATAAAATAGAAAAGGAAGTGTATAATGTAATAAAACAGAACTCCAAAAGAATTATAGAATTTCAAAAACACACTGAAATGGTCTAACCTGTTCATGAGACAATCCTAAACCAACTTCTTGTTAAGAAAACATTGTGTCATACAACAAATTTAGCCATGTCGAATTGCAAAAAATAGAAAGTTCTTGGTGCAACTACTCACAATTGTAACTGGTTTGTTTGAGCTTTTTAACAACCATGGTACATGAGGCTTCCTCACAACCACAGAATATGTCATCAAAAATAAAAGGAAAAGGGTACCTGTAAATACAATTCGTCCACCTTTCTAGCAAATCGCCAATGTTAACAATCAGGGCCCTGAGGGTACAAGAGACCAGCAAATTAAACAACAAAGTAATGATTTATTTGATTTTTTTCCATTAATATATTAAAAAAACTTATTTACTTTTATTTACCCATCAATGTGATGAACATCTTCCCAGAGCTGGGGATTCCTATTCTTTTCCCTGCATATCTGCAAATTCACAACAGATATTCTTACTTTTCTAAACAAGAGCTATTTTTTGCTTGAAAGTGGTAAAAGGTGGGAACATAACCCCATCCTCACCAAACCTTCTGACCATATATTTGTCTACATGATTGGTTAGCTAAGTTGGTGAATTTATTGTGCAAAGAAAATGTTGTACCTGTAGCCCAGGAGTGCCGTCTGTTGCTAGGAGGGTTATCATTCCATAATCAGAGTGAGCTGATGCACCATAATTGCCATCATCAGAGTCGTCTACTTCACCTACATTTAAAATTATTTTCTATTTAGATAAAACCAATAAATACTACAGTACGGACGAAAAACACAACGCTTAACTAGCTCCACAGCAAGAAGGAAACACAGTCAGCTCACAAAAACAAACGTTCCTAGAAGCTTGAAGAAGCTTCACGATATTTTCAGTTCACATCCCGCTTTCCAGTATAATAACAGGTAAGCAAAACAATCAACAAAATGAAGCAACCTAAGGTATCTTTAAAACTTAGATTAACATTGACTTACAGATTACAATAACATATTTATCATTATGCTCCAGCAAACAGCGGGCAGCAGCAAGACAGTTGCTTTGAGAAATTTTAGCAATAGAGATCACACAGATCTGCTCCATTAGCTGCTACTGTAAGTTAACAGTTAAGATATTTTTACAAACTGAAAAGTAGTCTTCAATGCAAGTTTTAGCTAACAAATGAAATTGTTATAGTTTAGAAAAAGATTATAATTGCGATCATGAAAGTAGCAATTTCCCTATTCACTGTAATGGACAGATTTGTAATGTTTCTGAGCACCCACACGACAATACCACAACAATAGGATGATATCAAGTTCTTCATTCTTTAGAATGACATATAGTGCACTCATTCATGTTTGAAATAAATAAACTTGTTGAATAAATCAGAGCTAAAGAAACCATTGGCAATTATCAGCAATCCAACACAACAAGAAGCAACCTAAAGACCAGCACACATGTTTTTAGCATTTCTCTGCATATCATGAGAATACTACTTTGGTTAATGTCATATGACATACAGGAGCATGAAATAAGTTGACCTGGGTAGTGCAATAATCGAAGAAATGCTGATGGGCAGCTGAAGGCACCAATGTTCTCAAAGAATTCAGCGTCAAGATTCAAACTCAGAGCGATTAGAGAGAGTATCCTTTTGCCAGTAGACCTAGTAGTGGTAGCAAATAAGCAGGAATATTTAAATTATTTAAACAAATAACACCAAAGTATTATACAAACACAATGCTGACGTAATACAATTAATGGATTTCCTTCGGTGAGATGAGCAAAACGAGGACTTACAGTGCACTTGCATGGTACATCTTAATTGTCTCCCTCCGACTTGGTAAGCGCTCTGTAGCCAAAGATAGAATTTATTTATGTTTTGGAAAGAAGTGATAAAAAAGGAGAAGGGAGTACCTTCAGAAGGCCACTGGTTAGCATCATTCTGCAAACCTTCATCTCCAATAGGCCCAATATAGAAACTTTCCTTGAGGTCTCCTGTATCATAAATCACAGTTACAGATCTTAAATAAGTACATCACTACAAACACCAGAAGGTAAAATCCACAAAACCTAGCGGTTGTTCAAAGTATAGGCAGTGAGCGCTTGTATTTATTACTCCATGCACCTTGTACTTATTGAAGATTGTGAGATGTTCAGGATAGATCAAACCAGAACCATGGTTCCTAGTTCAGTTTTTAAAAGCATCTTTCACAAACATCGGAACATTTTTAATTTGCTTAATACTGCTAATAAAGAATATTCCATAATCAGGCACTAACATGTCAACTTCTGATTTTTGCCGACAAAAGGGTCACTCCGGCTCTGTCATGTGCTACTATTATACTAACTTGCCAGTGTTATCCCATACACTTCAGGATTAAATTTATCAACAGTCTTCAAAAAGGAGAGGATGCTTAGGTTTAACAATTAGCAGTTTAACACGGCGAGCAGAGCAAAACAGGAGGCGCAGACCTTCGAATTTGGACGAGGGATCGAGCTTCTCGGCGTAGGGCGGGGTGTATCCCCGGTGGTTGCTGTTCCTCCGCAGCGCTATCTTCTCCTCCATCGGCAGCTCGAAGAACTTCGAGCTCTCCGCGAACAACCTCTTCAGCAATCCCTCCTCCACCCCATGGTTGACCACGTAGAAGAATCCGGACTCCACGCACGCCTGCAAAACCAAACCACACCACACGAATCACGCCCTGTTCTCTCTCTCTCCCCGCCGCCGCCGCGCCCACGGAACAGATTGTTTCCAGGAAAATTGCCATGGAATCCGGAATGGATTGGGTACCTTTCGGATGGACTCGGCGGCGGCTCGGGGGTCGGAGGACGCGAGGTCCACCACGGGGAGGTCCAGGCGATTCCCGCCGCCGCCGCCGCCGGCCATCCCGGATTCCTCTTCTGCCAAAGCGGCGGTTTGCTGCTGCTGCCGCCGCCGCCCTCCGCGTCCGCCGGCGGCTGTATCCCCACGGTAACTGGGCTTACAGAGAAGGAAGCAAACTTGGCCCATCTAGGGTAAAACGGGACCACGAACGGCCCATTACTCAAAGATTTGGGGCCCATTTACAACCAGAGAATAGCCCAGCAGAGAGAAACTTAGGCCCACTAATGGCCTAGTATCCCATCACGTACAAAGAAAGGCCCATTAAGAAGCCTATTATGAATTAAACGAGGCCAATTATGCAAGACAAAGTACAGGCAATTCACCTGAAGATAATGGAATAATTAATTATTTACCACTCTTACGGATGGTGATAAATGATTTGTCACTGGACCCACATATCATAGACACATGAGAGCCCACATGTCATAGACAGCGAGTGGCAAATAATTAATTGACACATCTTAAAAGTGGTCTAAAGTTAAATGTCCCGAAAATAATCCAGCTGCTCCATCATAGATCGGCTGCATATCATTTATCATTTTTAATCATTTTTTCTAGATGAATTTGAGACAGAAATTTCAGATATGTCATCAAACTGTTCGTGGATTGCATCATCTCGCACCAGGGCTTCCATTACATCCTAGTTTTCAGGGAAAACCGGAAAAGACTGAAGCGACGACGCGCAATTTCGGATAGTAGTTGTTAGTTCAGTTTTGAGCCTGATCACTGATCACTTACTGTTTAATAGCCACGCATCACATAAGTGCGACTTGATACTTGTATCTGCCATTCAGCCATCAAATTTCCAGTAAAAGCTCAGCATCAAATTTCCAGTAAAAGCTCAGTAACTTAAATGCAAACGGATGCTTGAGATTCCCCAATTACCACCCCCTACCCAATTGAAAAGGAAGGGCTTTTCATCCCACCAAAATCCCTTTGGGATTAAACGAACAATGCCGAATAAAAGATTAGTGCCCGTCTCGTACAAGATACAGCCCAGCAGAGAGAAACTACGACTAACCCATCGCGAGAGGCCCATGAAAAGCCTATTATAGACTTGACTAGGCCCAATTCCGAGTACTGATTACCAGTCATTTCATTTCGGAAAAAGTCCACTTTAAATCCCTTAATTGTACGCCGAATCTAATTCGTACCCCTCAACCAGAAAACCGGATAGAACGACTCCCCGAACTATTGAAAACGGTGCAATTTGACTCTCCCAGCGGTAATGGAGGGCGGTTTTGCTGACGTGGCGGCGCTAACCCAGTCTTTGTCTCACGTGGCGCTTAAGTGGCATTACAATTAAAAAAATATACGTGGGACCCATATGTCATTCACACAAAAAAAAATATTGTGGGACCCATTGACATGTGGGGCCCACATGTCATCCTCTCTCTCCCACCCTTCTTCCTCCTCCCTCTCTCTCCCTTCTCTATCTTTTCTCTCCCTTTTTCTCCTTCCCATCGGACGGTAGGGCCGGTGAAGGGCGGGGGCGGCGGTGCCGGCGTCGGGGACGCGGGGGCGCAGTGGGGCGAGGAGGCCGTGGCGGCGAGGAAGGCACGAGGGAGCGGCTGGGGGGAGGCGGCGGCGGCCGGTGCGGGCGGGGATGTCGCGCGCCGGGGTGGGGGCGGCGCACCTTCTTGAGCGCCACGATCTTGCCCGTCACCGTGTCCCGCGCCTTGTACACGTTGATGTACGTCCCCTGCCCGATCTGCGCCACCGACAAGACCGATGAGCTCAGTTCCCTTCCCCCACCACCAACAATGGCGAGCGCGAGGGCAGGAGTACGTACCTTGTCGATCTTCTCGAAGGAGTCGGCGCGGCGCAGGGTCCAGCCGTCGATGGCCTCGCCGACGACGGCGGAGAGCCAGGCGGGCCAGCCGGCCGCCACCTGCTCCCCGCGCGCCCTGTTGGCGAAGCTCCCCCCGAGCCCCAGGCCGACCGCCTCGGCGGCGGCAGACCGCGACGACCATGCGTGCCTCTCCCTCCTAGCCTGCTTCGGCGGCTTCTTCTCCTCCTCCTCCTCGGCCGCCTTCTTGGCGACGGCGGGCGGCTTCTCCGGGGCGACGGGCGGGGGGTTGGGCTGCTGGGGGTGGTCGAGGGAGGGGGCGGAGGGGCGGCCGAGGACGCAGCTCATGTGAGAGGAAGGGAGGAGGAAGAAGGGTTGGAGATAGAGGATGATATGTGGGCCCCACATGTCAATGGGTCCCACAAATATATTTTTTTTGGTGTGAATGACAGATGGGTCCCACATTTTTTTTTAATTCTAATGCCACTTAAGCGCCACGTGGGACGAAGACCGGGTCAATACCGCCACGTCAGCGCCACATCAGCAAAACCGCCCTCCAATACCGCTAAGGGAGTCAAATTGCACCGGTTTCAATAGTTCGGGGAGTCGTTCTCTCTGGTTTTCTGGTTGAGGGGTACGAATTAGATTCGGCATACAATTAAGGGAGTCAAAGTGGACTTTTTCCTTTCATTTCAGGTTTCAGCCTGATCAGTGATCAACCACTGATCACTCACTGCTCACTAGTCAATAGTCAATCATCACTCATCAGAGCTGCTTCATACTAAATTATGGTAAAAATGGAGCTGCAACATGTAGCAGCCAATTTAATGGGAGCCAGTTATCAATTTTAAGCTTTACACATGTAAAAATGTTGTAGGCAAAATTAGCAATAGGACATCTTGTTAACAACAAATTTTGGTAATCCAAGTATCGGAGATGAAGATAAATCGAAGCGGAATTCAAGATAGAGATCGTTCCGGAAACAAAGCGAGAATCGGCTAAAATTCCGAATCGGCTATGATCAGGATCGGCAGAGTTCGAGTCGGACAAGGTTGGCCGATTGAGCCGATGCCAACAATGTGGAGCGGTACACGCTGTCGGGTTGAGTTAATGTGCTTCATGAGGATTGCCATGTATGGATCGAGTCTTGAGAAGACAATTGTATCTATTAATTAGGATATTTCATGTAATTTTCTTAGAGATATGTTTGGGCAAAAGTCTGTCGCAAAGACTTATGGTATCTTAGAGTTTGTTAGAGATAAGAGTCGTGTCCGACACGGACATATTTTGTAAATCTCGGGTATTAATAGACCCCGAGCCTCATGTAATACAACAACACACGTTCAATACAATCTCAGCGCATCGCCACCCTTTTACTTTCGTTTTGTTTCGACGAGTTCTTGCTTTCGGGTTGAGCTGCATCGTTTTCGATCTTCAACTAGGGGTAAAACTTGTTATGGCGGCTTGCATTCTCGGGATTAGTGCTTCCATCTTCATGATACTCTAGTCTTGTTTATGTAATTCGTCGAGTTATCATATACTCTGTATAATCTTCGACAATATCGTTGTCTAACCTTCAACCGGCTAACATCTATTATTGGAAGGCAGCCAATTAGGTTAAATATCTATGTTGACTTAGATTATACATGATATCTACCACTCTATAAAACATACAACGGCTTGATCATCTAGATGTTGTCCTTCTTTTCATACTTATAGCTGCATCAGTTGAGTTTGATCTTATAAGTCATTATTAGAATCTTAATCTCTAGCCTGCTTTTGGTTGCCGATTAGGGTAGTATTGGGGTTTCAGCCGGTCTTACCTGATTTAGCTTTATATTTCATGTGCTTAATCGATATGCTAGATCTGCCATTATGTTAAGATCTTATTACAATAAAATATATTAGGCTTCTGTTTGATATATTTTGCTTGCTTTAATATCTTAATATAGAGTGGTATCGGAGTATTAGCCGATACATGCTAGATCTATCTGATCGGCTATGCTATGAACATCTATAATCTCATTGTTAGTATATATTTTGATCTAAGTGATTTATATTGTCTCGGCATGGCGACCGATCTATCCCAATCACTTGATTTAAGTATATATCGACATAAGGATTATATATTGTTAACATCTACAACCGATCGAGTAGATTTAGTTCTTTCTTATTTATTCATGATTACTTATCAATTCACATATGACACCAGCTTAAAGTTAAATGATATGTCATCGGCGGCTAGCCGATCGGCTATCATTTATGGATTTAACCGCGGTTTCTTTGTCTTTATTTCTTGTTGATTGCAGGATCAAATCAACTGGCACGCTCACGAACCTAAAAGCAATATTTTTGGACCTGCACTGAAGTTAAGCAGATCTTTCAGGCCTCGTGTTTTTCACATCAACACATCTAAAATTTATGGTCTTAGCCACAGGACATCCAAAGATCGCATATATGCTAGAGGACACCGTGAAAACATGGCAAATTGACAATTAGCTGTTGGATACCAAACACATTATTTTATTATATTTGATTCAAATAGAGGGAGAAACTTTTAAAAGGGACAAGTTTACCCATGAGGCTAGTTTCTTTTTAACCCGAGTAGGTCTGGTTCAAATTTCTAAAATCCTAGGTTTTGGTGGTGACGATGGTGCTGTGATTGCAAGGTTGACCATCGGCTGTGAGCTTTAGACCCTGTTTAGATGGGACTAAAACTTTTAAGTCCCTATCACATCGGATGTTTGGATACTAATTATAAATATTAAACATAGACTATTAATAAAACACATCCATAATCTTGGACTAATTCGCTTGATGAATCTATTGAGCCTAATTAATCCATGATTAGCCTATGTGATGCTACAGTAAACATTCTCTAATTATAGATTAATTAGGCTTAAAAAATTTATCTCGCAAATTAACTTTTATTTATGTAATTAGTTTTGTATACAGATACTAAAGTTAGGCCAGCGACAGATTCAAGCAGCGAGTGCAATATCGGATTGAAGCGGCGAGTGCGGCGGCCGATTGAAGCAACGAGCGCGCAACAGCGGATTCAATCGGCGAGCGGTGGATTCAAGCGGCGAGCGAGTTAACTTCCTTTTTATTTCTGGAAAGATCATTCCAATGTTAACTAATTTTGAGTCATGATCGTACATAATATGATACGTAATTAGCTGCATTACATTTAAGCTACTGCTGGGGCAGCAGCATTAAGAATTACAGCGGCTGCTTCGAACTAGACACACCTTACCAACACAAGGGTAAATGTGTACTTTCATTACTGTTTCTCCCTCCATTGGCATCGAATATAATAATAAAATAGTGTGTTCGGTGTCCAGCAGATAATTACCATGCTTACACGTTCTTTGAGTGTCCTACGGCTAAAACAACAAACTTTAGGTGTCATGTAGCAAATTTTTCCTTATTTATATGTAGAGCTCAAGCGCTCTTCCAAATAGTCTCCACTTTTTATAGGTGGGAACCTGAAAATGCATCAAATTTCAAACAATATGAGAAGCAAGTGCCAAAGGAACTAGACTAATGCTAAGATTGAGAAAGAAGAGGACCTTGGTGGGCATGCCTCACTACAACAGCTTTCCAAGCACTGAACCACTAAATCAGGGTCTGGGTCAAGAAAGAAAGCCACCTGACAAATTTAAAAAAAAAAAAAACTTGCGTATGAAAGAATGTCCACCAGAAAGGTCCTGAAGTTAAGCACACAATTTAGTCTAAGTCACTGAAGTGCTATATATTATCAGTGTTAGTTTTCCCTTAAAGCGGGGTTCATCCAACTCTAGAACATGAATTCAATGGGAGCTTCCACAAAAAATAGCAATAATTCAATGAGCTGAAACCCCTCAATAATGAAATTCTAATTTCAGTGGTTAGTAATACTCACAGAGTATCGCTCTTTACCAACTGCCACAACACGATGCAGTGTAGACCTACAAGTCAGCAAAAGAGCAAGAATAATCAAAATTCATACACAAGGCTTTTTCCTTAAATTTCAGAACTCGAAAAGACCTGTAGAATTTCAGAAACAACACGGACATGATCTATCCTGCTCATGATATTGACAAGCCTAAACCAACTTAGAAAGCATTGTGCTTTCGAGCATATTTAATCATATCGAGTTGCAAAAAACAGAAAGTTTTTGGTTAAACTACTCACAACTGTAGCTGGTTTATTTGAACTTTCTTAACAGTCACCACAGCACATGAGGCTTCCTCACAACCACATAATGGATTAATTGAAGTACAAACGGATGATACCTGAAAACACAGTTTGTCCACCTTTCTAGCAAATCGCCAATGTTAATAATCAGAGCCCTGTACACAAGACCTGGTTATCTAAGGAGCACACAAGACAGTGATCCAGAGAGCTAAGAGCAAAGCAACAGTATATTTGGAATTGTTATTCATTAATATCACCAAAAAGTATTTTACTATTTACCCATCGATGTGATGAACATCTTCCCAGAGCTGGGGATGCCTATCCTTCTCCCTGCATATCTGCAAACGCACAACAGTGAGAAAACTAGAATATAAATGTAAAAATAAATAATACATATTATTTTTCTGCTTTTCTAAACAGGAAAGTATTGTTTTGCTTGAAAGTGGTAAAAGGTGATCACATAACCCCATTCTCACCAAACCTTCTGAGCATGTATTTGTCTACATGATTGATTAGCTGGAAAAGAGAACAGAATTGAAATTGGTGAATTAATATATGTGAAGAACATGGTGTACCTGCAGCCCAGGAATGCCATCTGTTGCTAGAAGGGTTAGTATTCCATAATCTGAGTGAGCTGATGCTCCATAGTTGCCATCATCGGACTCGTTGATTTCACCTACATTTAGAATTATTTTCTATTCAGACAAAACCAATAACTACTATATAAGGAAGAAAACACAATAACAACGAAACAAAGTCAGTCCTCCAAAACAAAAGTTCCTAGAAGCAGGTTGAAGTTTCATGATATTTTCAGTTCATATCCTACTTTCCAGTATGACAATAGCAAGCAAAACAATGCAGAAAACAAAGCTACCTTAGGAACCTCCATAACTTAGGTTCATATTGATTTACAAGAACATATTTATCATTACACTCCAGTATACAGTATGTCAGCATCAAGATAAATTAGTTTGAACTGTTAGCGATTTCTATCACGCAGATCTACTCTGTCAGCTACTAGTGCAAGTTAACAAGTGAGATATTAAACGAAGTTTTAGTAAAAAATGCAATTGAGACCATGCAAGTAGCAGTATGACTTTTTCATTATAATTTACTTGACATATTTGTAATGTTCCCAAGGGCCAACCCAATAAAGCTACATCAATAGGAGGATATCATGTTCTTCATCCTTTAGAATGACATACAGCATTTTGTTCAAAGAAAGAAATTTGTTGAACAAATCAGTGCAAAAGAACAAATCCAAGCATCAATCTGCATTCTGACATGGCAAGAAGCGAGATAAGGACATTATCAAGCATGTACATAGCAGTACACTGCATATCATTACTCCACAACTTTGGTTAACTTCATATGAGAAAGGGACATGCAATAAGGTGACCTGGGTAGTGCAACAATCGAAGAAATGCCAATGGGCAGTCAAAGAATTCAGCGTCTAGATTCAAACTCAGAGCAACTAGAGAGAGTATCCGTTTGCCAGTACCCCTGGAAGTAGTAGCAAATAAGTGGGAATATTCAAATCATGAATGAAACAGTCATATAGAAGTATTACACAAACACAATACTGACGCGGCGAATCAGTGATGGACGGATGGCTGTCGATAGCAATATAATTATTGAATTTCCTTCACTGAGACGAGCAAAATGAAAACTTACAGTGCGGTTCCACGGTACAGTTTCATTGTCTCCTTCCAACATGGCAGGCGCTCTGCACCCAAATATAGAATTTGGTTATGTTTTGGAAAGGGTTTTGTTTATGTTTTGGAAAGGGTGGAGGGTGGGGAGTGGGATTTACCTTCAGAAGGCCATTGGTTAGCATCATTCTGAAAACCTTCGTCTCCAATAGGCCCAATTTTGAATGTCTCACTAAGGTCTCCTGGATCACAAAATCACAGAAAACAATCTCAACTACATTACTACAAAACACCAGAAGGTAAAATCTACAAGATGTATCAATTGTTCAAACTATAGGCAGTGAGGATGTGGTAAACTGGTAAATGGTTCTTCAGCACTTGTCTCATTATGTGCTCCATCTTGAATCATATCCACCTTTTACTAATTGAAGATTATGTGATCTTCAGGTGTATCAAACCTGACCCATGGCTTGTGGCCAGTTTTAAAAGACATCGTTCACAAGCAATGGGACATTTTTAATTAGCTTATACTCCCTCTCTCCCACTCACTAAGGTGCTATCAAACTTAGTAGTCTATCTTTGACTTTAAATTTCTCATATACTAGTATACTACAACGTTTGTAGCAACAAAATCATAATCATATAAAGTAAATTCAAATGACAATTCAATGATATTATTTTCATCAATAACCATGAAAATTTAATTCATAATAAACTATTTATTAGTCAAATATTTAAAAAGTCAAATCTTAAAATGCGTGTGTCTTAGTGAGTGGGATGGAGGGATATTCCATCAGGCATTGACTTGTCAAGCTCTGTCTTTTGCTAACACAAGGGTCATCCCATTCCAGCTCCTCACGTTCTACTATTAAATTAACCTATCTAGTACTATCAGGCACACTTTAGGCTTAAAATTTCGAGATTTGCTCCGATTCAACAAAAAGTATCTCGAGGTACCAATACCTTACGGTACCAAATCATTTCCGATCATTGGATCTAGCTGGCAGGATGGGCATTGTTAGATCCAACGATCGGAAACGATTTGGTACCGTGAGGTACCGGTACCAAAAGGTACTTTTTGTTGGACCAGAGCAAATCTCTAAAATTTCACTTAACACAAACCTAATTTTGCCATTAAAAAAAGACGGGTCAGCATGCAGCAAATCGCAAGCTAGCGATGAATCGACTAATAGAAGGCGAAGACCTCTGAATTTGGACGAGGCGTCGAGCTTCTCGGTGTAGGGCGGGGTGTACCCCAGGTGGCTGCTGTTCCTCAGCAGCGCCATCTTCTCCTCCAGCGGCTGCTCGAAAAACCTCCTGTTCTCCGCGAACACCTTCTCCAGCAACCCCTCCTCGATCCCATGGTTGACCACGTAGAAGAATCCGCACTCCACGCAAGCCTGCGAAACCAATCCACACCACACGAATCACGCTTCCTCGTCGCCGCACCCACGGAACATAGCGGAGCCTCGCAGAAGTTGGCGGAAATTGCCACGGGGAGAAGGGCGCGCACCTTTCGGATGGATTCGGCGGAGGATCGGAGGTCGGAGGACGCGAGGTCCACCACGGGGAGATCCAGGCGATCTCCGGCGGCGGCGACCATCTCCGGCTTCCAGCTGCCTCTCCCGCCGGGAAGTGGTTGCTGCTTGTTGCTTCTGCTGCTGTCCGCTTCCGAGAATGCTAGTTCTCGGTCGACCGGCGCGGGTGCGCCAGGATCGGACGCTCGCCCTGCGGCCCACCCACGTGTCTCCCTCTCCTCACGGACCCACCTGCCACTTCCACACACCCACACAACTTCATTGCAACAAATCACCCATATATTTTAAAAACTCTCTATTAAAATAATTTGGTTTATTTTCTGTTCCACCGAAAATATTCACCTAGTGTACTCATAATGTTTCATTATGTATAGATCTAATGTTGCAGTGAACTGAAACATTCTTTCGCTATTTGCTGAAATATTTATTTTTATATAAGGTGAAATAACACCCGATTTAAACGAGTGAAACACTTTCGATCTTGTTTTTATATACCTAGTGAAACATCGTGCAATATTTAAAAATAATTTAATAATAAGCTATTTTTTTCGTCGGAATATAGTCTTGTTTTTTTAATATTTAATTGCAATGAATTTAATGGTGCAATCGGATCATTATTTGGATGAGTAATTTAAGAGAAAAATGAGTTTACACGTAGTAAATCGGGTGCTGACGCCCGATTTTAATCTCCTTCCACCGGGCGCCCGAGCGGGAGTCACGTCCATCCGCTTCCGGCGTCTGTATCCACGGACTGGACTGACAGGTGGGCCATCACTGGACAAACAAACAGGGCCCAGCTACAGTAAACATGGCCCACTAAGGCCCATTTCTTACAAAGGCATGGCCAATCTCGCACAAGATTACAGCCCAGCAGAGAGAAAATACGACCGTACAGGAGAGGCCCATGAAAAGCCAATTATAGAACAGACCAGGACCAATTCTGGATACTGGTTGTCAGTCATTTCATTTCAGGTTCCAGCCTCATTAGAGCTGATCAATTGTCCACTTATCACTCATCAGAGCTGCTGCTTACTAAACTATGGCAAAAATGGAGCTGCAACATGTAGAAGGCACAGGCTTTAGAACACACAGGAAGTATGCATATCAGCGCTTCCCCCGTCAAAATTTTCAATTACAATAGAAAAAACACATGAATTTCTTGCTCTTGTCCCTTACTACAGAATGTGAAACCATACAACTTGCTTCAATCAAACACAGATGGGCAGTTCTTGATCTGAGAGCAAAGTTACTTTATTTGTGTCTTCCTTAATCGTGAAAGCATCATAAGAATCTTTATACAAAAAACTCTATACCAATGTTTTGGCAACAGAAAATACAGTGGAGGTTATGTCCAGTCTTCCTGAAAACAGTGAAGAGCAAAAATATATGTTGACACTCGAAGGCGGTTACAAATTTCACCAGATGCTGACATGATTGCTCATAAGTAAAGCTAGTATTAACACACGCGAGAAATCAGCAACAGCAGATGGGCTACATATAAGATCAAGATGTTTCCGTCCATCTCAACGGAATAGCTGCTCACTGAAGTTCACTAATCTTAAGCTTTACACATTTAAAAACGTAGGATTATTTGTGTTTTTCAGAAAATGGATTAAAACCTGGCCTTTACATCCAACATGGATGTACGCAGCCAACGTAGGATTATTTGTATCTAGCCCTCAATCGGTCTTCCAAATAGTCGCCGCTCCTTATAGGTGGGAACCTGAACGTGCATCAATTTCTAACAGTGAGAAGCAAGCATGAAAGAACTGCAATAATGCTAAGCTTAACAGGAGGAAGAAGACCTCGGTGGGCATGCCTCACTGCAGCAGCTTTCCAAGCATTGAACCACTAAATCAGGGTTTGTGTGAAGAAAGAAAGCCACCTGACAAATTGAAAAACATGTGTAAGAAAGAACGTGCACCAAAAAGGATGCAATATTTAGTTGGCGAAATGCTATATATTATCAATGGTGGTTTTACCAATAAGAAGTTCACCCGACTTTACAACATGAGTTCAATAGGAGCTAAAACTCAGTTATGAATTTCTGATTTCAGGTGTTAGTTATACTCAGTTACTCACAGAGTATCGCTCTTTACCAACTGCAACAACGCGATGCAGTGTAGACCTACAAGTCAGCAAAAGAACGAGAACAATCAAAAAATTGTTCTTTTCCATAGGGATAAAATAGGAAAAGAAGTGTATAATGTCATAAAACAGCACCCTGAATTTGTAAGGAACCACACGAACATGGTCTAACTTGTTCATGATATTGACAAGCCTAACCAATTTATCATTGAGAAAGTGCTGTGCCTTCTAACATATTTAACCATATCGAGTTGCAGAAAACAGAAAGTTCTTGGGGGCAACTACTCACAACTGTAATAGTTCGTTTGAACTTATTTAAAACAGCCAGCACAGTACATGAGGCTTCCTCACAACCACAGAATAGGATAACAGAAGTAAGAAAAGATGGTACCTGAAAACACAATTAGTCCACCTTTGTAGCAAATCGCCGATATTAACAATCAGGGCCCTACAGATACATAACACAAGACAACGCATTATCTAAGGAGCACACAGAATTGAGGTCCAGAAAGCTAAGAACAAAGCAATGGCGTAAAGCAATTTCATATGATGTAGGGCTATGTACATCCAGTTTGGATGTAGAGACCGGATTTTAATCCATTTTCTAAAAAAGACAAAGCAATGATATATATGAAATTGTTATTCATTAATATCATAAAAAATATTTGTTTTTTTTACTAAAAAAATATTTGTTATTTACCCTTCAATGTGATGAACGTCTTCCCAAAGCTGGGGGCACCTATCCTTCTCCCTGCATATCTGAAAACTCAAAACAGTGAGAGAAACCAGAACATAAGTGCAAAAAATTATGCATATTATATTTCTACTTTTCTAAAGAAGAGGTATTGTTTTGCTTGAAAGTGGTAAAAGGTGGGCAATAATCTCATCCTCATAAAATATTATGAGCATACTCCTATATTGTTTTAAATGATCAATTAGCTGCAAAAGAGAACAGAACTGAGATGGAGAATCAAAATTTGTGAGAACATGGTGTACCTGCAGCCCAGGAGTGCCATCTGTTGCTACAAGTGTTAGTACTCCATAGTCTGAGTGAGCTGATGCACCATAATTGCCATCATCGGACTCGTTAGCTTCACCTGCATTTAAAAATATTTTCTATTCATACAAAACCAATAAGTACTGTGTGTTTGTGTAAGGAGGAAAAGAAGCTCAATTGGCTCGACAATAATGAAAATGCTCAACTTAGCACTCTGCTGCATATTATTAGAATGCAACTTTGGTTAATTTCATATTATAAAGGGACTCGCACTAAGGTTACCTGGGTAGTGCAATAACCGAAGAAAGGCCACTGGGCAGTCAAAGAATTCAACGTCGAGATTCAAACTCAGAGCAATTAGAGAGAGTATCCTTTTACCAGTAGCACTGGAAGAGGTAGCGAATAAATAGGAATATTCAAATTTGAGACAAATAGTTATATAAAAGTATTACAAACACAATGCTGATGCAGCGAATTAATGATGGACTGATTGTTGTAGATTGCATCACAGCAGTTAAATTTCCTTTGCTGAGATGGGCAAAATGATAACTTACAGTGCAGTTTCATGGTATAGCTTCATTGTCTCCTTCCAACATGGGAAATTCTCTATACCCAAAGAAAGAATTTATTTATGTTCTCGAAGAAATGACAACAAAGAAAAAGAAGAGGAGGGGGAATTGCCTTCAGAAGGCCATTGGTTAGCATCATTCTGATAACCTTCTTTTCTGATAGGTCCGATACAGTAATTTTCATTGAGATCTCCTGGATCACAAATCACAAACAAAAGTCTCAACTGCATCATTACAAACACAAGAAGGTAAAATCGACAAGATGTATCGGCTGTTCAAACTAGAGGCAGAGAGGATACGTTAAAGTGGTAAATGGTTCTTCAGCACTTATCCAGTTATCTGCTTCATCTCGAATTATATTGGCCTTGTACTAATTGAAGATTGTGCGACCTTCAGGTCGATCAAACCAGAGCCATGACTTGTAATCATTTCTAAAAGGAATCATTCACAAGCATTGGGACATTCTTAATGTACTTATATAGCCTTGTACGCGTAAAGAATACTTCATCATCAGGCACTAATTTGTCAAGTTCTGCCTTTTGCCGACACAACTCGTCATCTTCTATTATTACAGTTACCTAGCTAGACACCCCTTAGGCTCAAATTGGCTATAGAAGAGCAGTGCAAACTGCAAACTGCAAAGCTCAAGCGAAGAATTGGCTATGGAACATGAGGCGCAGACCTTTGAATTTGGACGAGGCGTCGAGCTTATCGGCGCCAAGCGGGGTGTACCCCAGGTAGTTTCTGTTCCTCAGCAGCGCCATCTTCTCCCCCAGCGGCTGCTCGAAAAACTTGCTGCTCTCCCCGAACACCTTCTCCGCCAATCCCTCGGCTCCATGGTTGACCACGTAGAAGAATCCGTACTCCACGCAAGCCTGCAAAACCAAACCACACACCAACACGAATCACGCTTGCTCACTGCGCTCACAGGCGGCCTCCCAGATTGGTAGGAGTAGAAGAGCAGAATCCGGAATCAGGCGAGAACCTTTCGGACGGATTTGGCGGCGGCGGCGAGGTCGGAGGACGCTAGGTCCACCACGGGGAGGTCCAGGCTCTCGCCGGCGCCGGCGCCGGCCATCTCCGGCCGGCTGCCCGCGGCGCTGCCTCTCCTACAGAAGCGGTTGCTGGTTGCCGCTGACTTTGCTGCTGCTGCTGCCCGCGTCCAGCGCCTGGATCGATGGACTGGGTTTAGATGGGCCGACCAATGGGCGTAAGTCTACTTAAGATCCCTCGACTATGGGTCGAGTTTCAAACGTAACAGGAATAAGTCTACTTAGCGTCCCTAAACTCTTGCGGCTGGTTGAATCGCATCTCTCAACCACAGAACCGGGCATAACCTGTTCCCTAACTTTCAAAACCGTTGCAAACCGACTCTCTCAGCTGTTTTGCCCTTCGTGGCACTTACGTGGCGAGCTGACTTGGTCTTCATCTCATGTGACATCGACGCAGCGCTTACGTGGCACTAAAATTGAAACAAACCTTAATGGGACCCACAGGTCAGTGAGTAAAACAATAAAAATAAATTTTGGGCCCACATGTCAGTTAACTTTCTCCTCCCTCTTTATCCTCAGAAAATGGCCAATACACTGTAGATGAGGCCCATTAAAATCTCACTACGAACAGAAACAGTCAGCCCGTTAACTTAGCATATCCCATAAGGGCCCATTTCTCATAACAAAAGAGCCCAGCAGTGAGAAGGCCGAATCGAGTCCCATTATAAGCCCAATATGAACTGAACGAAGCCCCATACAAGTTATTACTAATCCCGTAATCCCGCCATAAAAACCGACTGTGCAATTTTTCCTAGACGAATTTTGAGACAGAAATCTCAGATATCTCATCGATGTTCCGCTGCCGTTCCACTCAATCAGTTTATCAAACTATTCATAAATTGGCTAACCGTTGTCTCAGTGTCTCCGCTTCTGTTCCATCATTCCAGATTACCAGGGAAAAGACTGGTAAGCATGAATCAACCATGCACAATTTCAGGTATACTGTTTGTCAATCAGTTCAGGTTTCAGCTCCAACCAGCGACAACCCGCCCTCCGGCTCCGGCGTGTCCTCGCCTGATCGATCACCTCATTACAAATACTTGTTCAGTTTCATCAGCGAAAGTTGATTTTTTTTCTGAGAGACTCAGGCCCTGTTTAGTTCCAAAGTTTTTTTTTCCAAACTTTCAACTTTCCATCACATCAAAATTTTCATACACACAACTTTTCAGTCACATCGTTCCAATTTCAACCAAACTTTTAAACTTCAGTGTGAACTAAACACAGCCAGAGTGTAGGACGAGACTTTTGGTTGCACGGCCGCTGTCTGAACAAAGAGTCAACACCCACACATCACTCATCAGTGTTACTTCACAGTTCACACTCGCATCAGCCATCAGTTTCCCAAGGAAAATCGAAAAACTCGCCATGGTTTTGGTCACAAAAGCTCACGGTTGTTTCAGCTGTAAAATCCCGTTCCTCTCAACTCACAAGCAGACAAAGCTGATGTATTAGAAGTTGGAGCATATGCGTGCGAAATTCCTGAACTTCACAAGAGTTGGTGTGCAGCAACGCAACACAGAGGGGCCTCATCTGCAATGATTCCACTGAACTGAGAGGATGAGTCAAATGAAGGAATTGTACTACTAGTAGCAAGTAGGAGCATGATACATTCATACAACTCGACCTGACAAGATTCCAATTTCGTGGGGTTAAGAAATACAGTACAATATTTGTGACCAAAGGGGACATGTGCATAGCTAATCCGGACAAGAACTCCCAACCACCCTAGCGCACAAACAACAATTAATCAATGCGATACATCATACAACACTCAAATCACAAGGGGAAAGCCGGATGAAATATAAGAAAATGGGTAGTTAAGCTGGAATATTAAAGGTTCAGGACCTGTGAAAGTGAAAAAAAAATAGCCTTACCTTTAAATTAATCCATTGAGATGTATCTTAATGTTTATCAGTAACCTTCCCTATCAAACTTTTCTATTACAATAAGAAGAAAAAGAACACCCATGATCTTCTTTGTTTTGTCCCTTTTCTGATAGAATATGAATGCACACAACTTGCTCCAATCAAACGAGATGGGCAGTTCTTGATCTGTGAGAGAAGTTGCTACCTTTGGAGGTTGCTTCTTTATCCAAGCATCCTAAGAATCTGTACACAATACCATACGAAACAGTCGTAACAAGGTTGACAAAAGAAATGCACAATCGTTTGCTCTTCAGTTTATCACTGCAACCAAAATGTAAATTTTAAACTTAATTTTATAGGTGATTTCGATGGTTTTTCATCGTAGTTTATTTTCTGTTGTTGGTTTTTAAGTCACTAAAACATATTTATAAAAATACATTTTTTTTTCACTGATAAGCGTTACGGTTTATAATCAGGACGAAATGACAGAAACACTTATTAGGGTTAATGCAAGATTACAGGGTTACCGAATCAGTAAAATGGTTAAAACGAACAGAAAAGACACCGGAGGTTATGTCAGGGCTACCCAAAAACTGTGAAGAGCCACACTAGCTGTTGACACTCAACGGCACTCACAAATTTCTGATCTCATATCAAGTGGTTGGAAACCCCACATGCTGAAATGCTTGATCATAATATTTTTTTTAGCAAATGCGACAAGACGACAGCAGCTGATGGCGTACGCATCAGATCGAGATGTTTCTGTCCGTCTCAACCGAAAGATAGCTTGTTCACTGAAGCTCACTACCACCATGGACAAGCACGAAGCATATCCATGTAGGATGAAAGCCACTGGGTAAAAGAAAACCATTAGAGCAAATCTCCGAATCTGTGGCTCTGTTAAAAAAAACTCTCTGAATCTGTGTTCTCCAGTTTCTTCCAAGAACCGTTAGTAAAAATGGGTCCAGCAGATAGCCCTGATTGAATCTCTGCTGATGCTGTCAATTTGTCAAACACGAGGTAGAGTAAAGGCTTTAGCGACATCTATCTAGTTAGTTATCTAACTATATAAGCAAAGTGAAGCATAATTAAGCGAGAGGAAAGCACACTCCAGAACCCAAAACAGCTGCAGTGCCATCAGTTTCAGTTTCAGTTTGAGTGAGCTCGAGGGAGCTTAGGGTGGCTGCCATGCTGGTGGTGGAGCTGGGCGTGTGGCTCATCCCGCTCACCCTCTTCTTCGTCCCGTGCCGGCGGATCGTGCTCCTCCTCAAGCAGCTCCAGGGGTTCCACCGGAGCATGACGCGGCCGCGGCGGCGCGCCTCCGCCGACATGCTCAGCCGATTCTCCGGGCTCAACGACAACATGGTCTTCGTGCTCTGAGAAAGTCTGAAGAAGGTATATGTGGGTGCTTTTCTTGGTTGATCTAGTCGGAAACTCAGATGGCTTTTGGCCATGGTGCTGGATTATTGCTGATGCTAATTCAGCTCGTGCTGTAGCTCTTCATCTCTTTCTCTTTTTGTTCGTTGGAAGATCCAAAGGAGTTCTCTCTCTGAATTTTTCATCTTTCTGTGTACCATAAGCTAGCTCCAGTAATCTGAGATGTACATGAACTTACTGCATTTTTCATCTTGTGTACCATAAGCAAAGCTCAAGTGGTCTGAACTTACTTAATCTTATGTACAAGAACATCAGAACTTACTGAATTTTTCATCTTCTCGTTGACCTGAGAGAAATTCCTGCATGATTCTTGTTTTCTTTGTCGGCTCGATGGATCGAAAAAGTACAGGAAGGAAATATTCCAGTTGTAAATTCAGCATGCACAAGAGAGAACTAAGGATCAATTTGGGGAAGCTAGATTTATGTATCCTATACTCGAATTCGTAATATTTCAAAGTCAGAATGCTATATTGAGCAGCATGGCATCACCTCCATTGTGCTTCTGCTCTCTCCTTCGAGGGCAAAATCGTCCACAATGTGGATTTTCTGAAAATTTTAACATTGATTGTGCTGAAATGATTAGTTCCTCATCCAATTCTCCTTTTTTTCAAGCAAGCCTACATCATTTCACAGTATTTATGCCCTATGACAAGGAATGCCAATCTTATCCTGCAAAAGAAAATATGTTGTGTTGCTATCAGTTAGGTCCCACGGTCAGGCAAGATCCACAGAAATAAAATCCTGGAATTTAAACAGATTTTTCTAAATAATCATTTGTCAAACAGGTAACATTAAAACTCAGATTCTTGCCGAACTTATTTGAACAGCACATAAGCTACACCTTCCAACCCAGAAAAAACCATATAGATCCATAACCAGAAAATATTTTTTAAGGAAAAAACCATATAGATACATAACCAAAAATTGTTTTTTTTCTAGAGCAGTGGAAGTAGTTACTTAAGTACTGCATGATTGAGTTCTACTCCCTCCGTCCTAAAAAAGACAAACCCTGATTTCCGTGTCCAACGTTTGACCGTCCGTCTTATTTGAAAAATTTATAAAAAAAAATTAAAAAGACAAGTCACGCATAAAATATTAATCATGTTTTATCATCTAACAACAATGAAAATATAAATTATAAAAAAAATTCATATAAGACGGACAGTTAAAGTTAGACACGGAAACTCAGAGTTTCTTTTTTTTTTTTTGACTGAAGGAGTAAGCCTCATCTGCTGCCGCACATGCGCGCTCACTCCTGATCAGTACACTGTGTCACCAGACAGGAGGACGTTCGTTGCCCCCGGATACCATCACCCTAACATGGCTTCCTATAAGGCTATGTATTAACCAATCACTCACCCACTCATCACTGTGACTTCACGCACACTTCACACTAACATCACTCACCGACTTCCAACGAAAATTCATCACGGTTTGGTGCCTTGGTCACATTGCTGACAGTAGTTTTCAGCTGCAAAACTTTTCTTTAAAAAGACGTGAATATTAGAGAATGACCTAATATCAAATAGGGAGTAGCTATACAACATTCGACATTTTTTTAATGAAAAACTTTCAATTGTAATTGTAACTACTATGTAACTACAATATAAGTAATATGTAACTCATATATAACTCTGAAAAATTGGATGGAGCAATTGGTTAGTTGAACGAGCATGCAAGCTGCAGGTCTCTGGTTCAATCCTGGCCACAAGCATCAGGTTTTTTTTCCATTTTTCCTTCACAGCACAAATCTCAAAGTATATCGTACGGTTAATTTATTTTTCCATTTTTTCCTTCACAACACAAATCATTTT